GGGTGTTTAACCCCAAAATGCTCAGTGGGAGAGTGGCTGCCCCATTTCAGGGTGTTTAACCCCAAAATGCTCAGTGGGAGAGTGGCTGCCCCATTCCAGGGTGTTTAACCCCAAAATGCTCAGTGGGACAGTGGTTACCCCATGGCAGCGTGTGTAACCCAAAAATGCTCAGTGGGAGAGTGGCTGCCCCATTCCAGGGTGTTTAACCCCAAAATGCTCAGTATGACAGTGGCTGCTCCATTCCAGGGTGTTTAACCCCAGAATGCTCAGTGGGATGGTGGTTACCCCATGGCAGCGTGTTTAACCCCAAAATGCTCAGTGGGACAGTGGCTGCTCCATTCCAGTATTTAACCCCAAAATGCTCAGTGGGAGAGTGGCTGCCCCATTCCAGGGTGTTTAACCCCAAAATGCTTAGTGGGACAGTAGCTGCTCCATTCCAGTGTTTAACCCCAAAATGCTCAGTGGGACAGTGGCTGCCCCATTCCAGGGTGTTTAACCCCAAAATGCTCAGTGGGACAGTAGCTGCTCCATTCCAGTGTTTAACCCCAAAATGCTCAGTGGCAGAGCAGCTGCCCCAGGCCAGCGTGTTTAACCCCAAAATGCTCAGCAGGACACCCGTTAGTCGTCACAGAGGAGCCACACGTGGAGAAACCCAGCGGAATGACCCACGGGAAGAGCTCGAGGACAGAGAGAGATGGAGGTGAAGCGAAGCTGGTGCCTCTTACAAGGCCCAGAAGAGCCTTTGGGCCGGTTCCGGGGCCGCCGCCGGCCTCTTACAGGGCCCACCCGGGCGGGTGGGAGCCTCGGGCGCGGCAGCAGAGCCAAAATACCAATGTCAAAACATGTGGGAGAGACAGGGAGGGTGTGAGGCTGGTCTCTGCTCTTACAACAACACATCCCACCGGATTTACGAGGCGAATCAACACTAAACACGGAGCAATCCCTCCGGGATTTTTGGCCCTTTTAACCTTGCGTGCCGCAGGGGTCGGAGGGTAAGGCGGGGGTGGAGGCACCCGCTCGCTCGACGAGGTTAAAAGAGGGCGGAAACCACGGTGGGTTTTTGGATTTTTGGATAGTGAGAATTAAGTAAAAAAAAAAAAAAAAATTATATATGATTTCTTAGGAGCTGAAGGTGCCGTTGGCTTCCTCACCGCTCGTTCAGAGACATCTTGGTGGTGCTCTTTAGCACGACCTTCGGTGCTGACTGTGCAGCCATCTTCAGAGAATCTGCAAAACAGGGCCCAGAAGGGAAAATTTAGACATTTATTACACATTTATACTGTGAAATACTAAACATCCCTTTCGTTCTGCCTCTTTCGGTGAAGGAAATCAAGATTAGGGCAGGTTATGTGCAATATATTCATTTTTTCCCACTGATTTTTAGCCCTCTGCCAGAATTTTTCTGTTCTGATTCTGGGATTTTGAATGCTTTTTGGTCTTCTCCCGGTTTTAATAAATCAGGGAGTTCCTTTATTTCTCCCTTACCAAAAATGTATCATTTTACAGTGAATGCTTCAGCAACATTAGGAAAAATAACACAAAAATCCAGGAGCAAGATGGCAACCAAATGCCACCTCCAGAGCAAAGATGCAAAACAGAATCCAAGACATCAAATTAAAACAATTATTACGTATTTACATGATTAAACATTAAAAAACTTCTGCTCTCTGTGGAGAGAACTAAGAGTGAGGCTAGTTATAGGTATTGTATTTATGCATTTTTAATGTTTTCTAGCCCTCTACCAGGTTTAATAAAAAAGGGAGTTATTTTAATTTACCTTTAGTAAAAATTTATATTTTTACAGTGAATACCTTATCATTTTTCTGAGTAATAACATACAAATCCAGGTGTAAATAGCACCCAAACGCCTTTTGCACACTGACACCTCCACATTTCCCGTGTTCTTAGCATGACCAAGGTGCAAACCCCAATTTTAAGGGCACAGGGAATAAAAATCCAAGACGATGCTACAAAAGCATCGTACCCTTTAAAAACATGGAGGTTCCAATTCCCTCAGGGTAGGGATTTAAATCCCCCCCCAGTGCTGGATGCTACAGAAACACGCTGGGCTCCAACCCCCGAGCTCTGCAGATCGATTTATTAATTTATTTTATAATTAGCAGCAAATCGAACGGGTGGATGACGGCCGGGATGCGTTTATTCTATAATACCCTGAAAAAAACGTTTTATTGAGAGGATTTACAACCAGAAACTGAGACAACAGAAAGCCTCATTGCTGCTTGAAACTAATTATAATAATTTTGTTTTAATATACAGCAGCTTCTTCAATTTGAAGTGGTTCTTAAAGCGTTTTTCTTCCTGAGGATAAAAAAAAAAAAAATAAAAACAAACCGCTCCGCCTCCCGCAGGCCCGACTCCGGAGGAAAAGCCCCGACCGTGAGGGGCTCTCCGGGCTATGAGGGGGCCCTGAGGGGACCCCCCGGCCCTCAGGAGCGGCCCCCGGCGCCCCGCCCCCGCGCAGCCGGGCCGGTCACTCACCGAAGCACACGGTCGCCAGGTCTCCGGTGGCTCGGCCAGCAGGCGGGCGGGCGGGCGGGCGGGTGAGTGAGTGCGGGGCCGGTGTGGGGCCGGCGCGGGCCGGGGCTGGCGCTGAGCTCCGCCCGCCGCCGCTGCTGCCGCTTCTCCCTCAGCCGCCCGCGACAAAATGGCGCCGGCGCCGCTCCCGCCCCCGCCGAAATGGCGGCCGCGCTCCCGGCCACGCCCACCGCCGCGCGAGCCCCCCCGGGCCGGGCGGTGATTGGTGGAGCGGCGGAGGGGGCGGGGAAAGGGGCGGGGCTGAGGGAGAGGCGGGAACGTTCTGGCGGGAGTAGGGTGGAGTCCCCGTGACGTCATAGAGAGCGGTGTCGTCATTGTCACGTCATGAAACCGTCATGGAACCGTCATGGAACCGTCATGGAACCGTGGGATGAGGGAGTCGGGGGGGTCAAGGAACCGTGGAGTCATGGAGCTGTGGAGTCACGGAGTCACGCGGTGCTGGGATCCCCACGTCCCACGGAATTGTGTCAGCTTTATCAGCTCCTCTGTCAGCTCCATGGAATCTTGGAATTATGGAATCACAAAATGCTCAACCGTGGAATCATATAGGATCCAGGCATTAGGGAGTTGCGGAGTTGGAAGGGGTCTGTAAGGACCGTGGAGTCCCCTGCCCATGACACTCCTGGTGTCCCACCATGTCCCTGGGAGCACTGCCCAGCTGCTCCTTGACCCCTGTCCCGTGCCCCTGTCCCGATGTCCATCCCACCCGGGCAGGGCCGATCCCGAGCCGGGATGGCGGGCAGATGATGGCGCTGGTGGCCCTGGTGGGGCCCTTGGCCACCGTCCCATCCCAGTGGGCTGGGAGATCCCAACCGGTTCCTCCAGCCCCGCGGGAGCGGTGCCGGTGCCTCCGGAGCCACCGGCAGCGAGTCCCGGCCTGTCACCCCCTTCCCAAATCCCGGGGCTCCCGTGTCCCACACCCCGACACCGGCCGGGATCCCCCGCCCCAGGGTCACCCTGCCCAGGGCAGTCGGGGCGGATCCCAGGGTGAATCCCAGGGTGGATCCCGGGTGGATCCCAGGGTGGATCCTGGGGTGGATCCTGGGGTGGAGCCAGGGCTGTCTCCAGGCTTCTGGGGTGACCCAGGCTGGCTTTTCCCTGTGCGCCCGGAGTGGGATATTCCCAGGGGATGGGGCAGGAATCCCGAGCAGGAATGAAGGAAGGAGCTGACGCACACGGACACACCTCGGGCAGGGTTGTGCCTTTATTGTGCAGCTGGATCCCAGCGGGATCCCCTGGGAATGCTGAGGGGGTGAGCCGGGGGGTGGCGGGGGGGCTCTGGATTTTGGGAGCCCATGTCCTGCTGCGGCAGGAGGGGGGTCAGGCATTCTCCCAGAAGAAGTTGTTGCAGGCCACGGTCAGGGCGGCCACCAGGACCACAAATTCCTGGAAATCCACCTCCCCGTCGCCGTTCTCATCCAGGTCCTGCATGATCTTCTCCACGGCCCCCGCGTCCTTCTGGGTCTGGGGGGGACACAGGGTGAGCCCTGGGGCTGGGCAGCCGCTGTTCCCCCGGGGAACGGGGAAAGGGAGATCCCCGCACCCCAAACTGGTCCCAGTTACCTCCAGGAAACATCCCAGCTCGCTCTGCAGCAGCTCCTTGAGCTCCTTCTTGCTCAGCTTGTACTTGTCCCCCTCCTTGCCCGAGTAGTGGTGGAACACATTGATCAGGGTCTCCATGGCCCCTTCCAGCTGCGATCCCATGGCTGCGGCTGCGGGACCCCCAGCACGTCACCCACCGGCCCCCCCGTCTCGGTGCCACCCCCACATGTCACCCACCCGCGGCCGCGGTCCCCCTGGGCAGGACTGGGGGGGTTCCCAGGGGCTGGGCGGGGAGGTTTGGGGGGGACGGGGACACCTGTGCTCACCTGAGCTCCCCGTGCTCCGAGTGCGCCCGCCCGGCCCGGCCGGGCCCGTTAAATAAGCTCCAAGCCCCCTCCCTCCGGGAGGATCCGATACCGGGGCTGGGCAGCCCGGCTGGCACCGCCGGCCAGCCCCGCGGGGCCGGGCGTGGGGGGCACAACCCCGGCCTGGCCCCGGGGACACGGCTGGGGGGACAGCCCCACTTCAGGGGGGCTCCCCGTGCCACCCCCGAGCGCCCCTCGCCGCCCCCGGGATGCGGAAAAACCGGGGATGTAGGGAGAACCGGCACGGGCACGGGCACCGGCACCGGCACCGGCATGGGCACGGGCACTGGCACCGGCACGGGCACCGGCATGGGCACGGGCACGGGCACGGGCACTGGCACCGGCACCGGCACGGGCACCGGCACCGGCACGGGCACGGGCACGGGCACGGGCTCAGGCACGGGCACGGGCACGGGCACCGGCACGGGCACCGGCACCGGCATGGGCACGGGCACGGGCACCGGCACCGGCACTGGCACCGGCACGGGCACTGGCACCGGCACGGGCACGGGCACGGGCACCGGCACGGGCACCGGCACCGGCACGGGCACCGGCACGGGCACCGGGGTCCCCCGCCGGGCTCAGTGCCCGGCGCCCCCGCCGGTGGCCGCGGTGGCCACGCCGTGACCCCGCGGGGGCACCGCCGGCATCCCCCGTCCGTCAGCGCCGCGGGGCCGGGGCCGCGGCCAGCCCCGCTCCCGGGGCCGATGAAGGGATCCGGTGTCCTCGGAGCGGCCGCGGGGCCCGCGGGGCCCGGGGGGAGCGGCGGGGGCTATCGGGTGACTCCGCGGGGGCCCCCCGCGCTCAAAGGACTCTTGTCCGGCTGAAAAGGCCCCACAATCCCGAGCCCGGCGTTGCTGCAGCAACGCCTCGGCCAGGAAACCGGACTCCGAGCCGGCCCGGGTGATGCTGATAATCCGCGGATCCCGTTACGGCCCCGGATCCGCGCGGGATGGAGCCCGCAGCCTGCCCGGCTCCGGCATCCCCGGGGAGATCAGCTCCCGAATTCCTCAGCCCCCGAATTCCTCAGCCCTCAAATTCCTGATCCCCCAAATTCCTGATCCCTCAAATGCTTCAGCCCCCAAATTCCTCAGCCCCCAAATGCTTCAGTCCCCAAATTCCCGATCTCCCGAATTCCTGATCCCCCAGATTCCTGATCACCCCAATTCCTCAACCCCAAGTGCTTCTGCCCCCAGATCCCTCAGCCTCCCTCAGGAGTTGGGACCCCCTCAAACAGGAGCTGCATTTTCAGCAGGGCCGGGTGGTGCCGGGCTCCTCATGCCGGGTTCCAGCCCTAATTTGGGGCTAATTACATCCTGTTGCCTCTGCTTCCACCTCCCTCACTTCCCGTCCCTGCGGCTGAGGATGGGCCCTGCCTGGGCACCCCAAAACTGCCTGGGCACCCTCCCCAGCGCCCGGGGAATGGGGAAACTGGGGGGTCCCCAAGCAGAGGAGGGGTCCCAGCTGGAATTGCGAGTCCCAGAGAGGAGCAGGGATCCCAAAGGGCGGCTCAGGAGCTGCCTCCCAGCAGGACCCGGCTCCATCCCTGGGGCTCCGGGAGGGGCCGGATCCCCAAATCCCGAGGCTGGGCATGGGGGCACTGGGAGGGGCCCGTGGCACTCACTCGCCGTGTCCCGGTCCCCGAGCGGCGGGCAGGATTCCGGGAACGCCCGGGAGAGTCACCGGGCCAGCAGCTGCTCGTGACAGGGACGGGCATTGCCCAAAAATAACCCCGACCCCGGTCCCTGCCAGGGGACAGAGGGGACAGGGCCAGGACTGCGGGCAGCGGCACGGCCGCAGTGTCCGAGGGACAGCGGGACCCCAAACCCTTCGGGACAGCGGGACCCCCAAACCCTTTGGGACAGCAGGACCCCCAAACCTTCGGGACAGCAGCCCCAGGGCGAACCCCAGCACTGGGGGGGTCCCGAGGGGTCCCGGGGGGTCCCGGACCCTGCGGCCGGGGCAGAGCGCGCCCAGCACGGCTGGCAGATTCCCAGGACGAGCTCTGGGAAGCGGGAGCAGTGAGGGACATGCCAGGAGCTTTACACACAGCTTGGAACAGGTTTCAGCCACTGCGACTCCCCTGCTCCACTTTGACCCAGCTAAACCAGTCGCTCCAGTTCCCGGTGCTGGGCTGGGCCCATCTTGTCTCCCCATCCCATCGCCGGGGCTCTGGAAGAGGCTTTGGAGAGGGAGGAGCTGCGGTGGCCGCGCTGGGGACCCCGCGGTGGCTCCGGGCTCCTGCCGCGGCCCCTGGGTCCCTGCAGCGAGCCCCGATGGGGCCAGCAGGGGCCACTGCCGGGCTGGGCACCGCGCTGGACACGGTCACCATCCCTGGTGGGGCCACACCGGCTGTGGAGAACCCCAGGACCAGGATGTGGAAGTGGACACTGAGCCCCTGCACATGGTCACCCTGTCACACGGGGTCCTGTGGTCCTATATGGCCCGAGTCCCGAATGATCCCATTCCTATTCCTGTATAGCCCAAGTCCCTGTACGATCCCATTCCTGTCCCTATATGGCCCAAGTCCTTATATGGTTCTGTCCCTGACCCTGTATGGCTCGAGTTCCTATGTGATCCTGTCCTTATATGGCCCAAGT